AGAAAATTCTACGTCATTGAGGAGAAGTGCACTAAGCCATATTCTTTGTTATCAGTATTCCTACAAACGGATCAAATGTGGTCATCTAGCCTTCATTTCTGTCTATTAAGTTCTCCAGTCAATGATCTACCATTTCCAGATAGTTTTTAAATGTTAAAGAGAGTTGAATAGGGTATCCTCGAAGTTGATCTGCAACATGACTTCCAATTGTCTGCAACAGCTTACATTCTCGAGTGCCTGGAATCAGAAGGAGAAAAGCCAGCAATCTTTTGTTGTACACAAAGTCGTGTGTAGTTTGAGGAAAGCATCCACCGAACATGAAATGTTTTAACAGGCATTCAATTTATGACTCAGATCCGTGGTTGTATACCAGAAAGTACTGACAACAGGCTGCACAATCTTTACCAATCGATGTGGTTCACTTGGAATGTTCCTTGTATCTTTGCTGCATGAGCGTAAATGTTTAAGAAATGATCTTTTAAAAATAAATTGTTACCTGAATGTTCTGTTTATTATCTGGTTTCTTTACGTGTTGATCTCAATAACGTTTGTTTTGTGGCACATCCGACGGAACGACTTGGGAAGGAATTTATTTATTTGCAGATCAGCAACTGACATTCATGCTGTAGTGATGGGCTACAGTTTATGCTTAATTCTGGGATTGTTCTTTTACAATAGTCTTTCCACCTACATGTTATATGGCTACCATTCCAATGAAAGCGTTTTTTGATGAAGCGCTATTAAAAATTGCTTTCAAACGCTGCTACGATTTTCAACTGGTATCAATTGACTGAGCTACAGTTTTCATGCAGAGTGTTCATTGCACCAGCCAACCACATTACTTATTTTATTAGTGCGCATTTAGCCGGCATTTTAAGCAACAGGTTTGCCTCATGCAATACTGCGTGTTTTGGTCACCGGACAGGCCGTATTTGCAGGTATTTAAGTTTATATCGGGCAAACAGAGAGGTCACTAAGGTTTCTTTACAAATTATTTTTGTTTGCAGATCCGAGACTGGCTTGCTAGCATTGGTATGTAAAAAGACACGTAGGTAAATGTTTGTTTCAAAGCAGGACAGGATTTAAATCTTATTCTTATTGCCTGCAACGTATATCTGAGAAATACCAGGGAACAAATGTGAGGTATTGGACTCTGTCCAATGCCATTGTAATACATAGCACCAGATGGTTAATGATTGACTATGCTTGACTGTGCTTAGTTCGCCTCTGTGCTGTTCACATTGCTTTTTCACACCCATCCCTACCTGCAGGTTGCATCAGGGGGGCGGGCCTTATTTGGCCTCCGCTCCTCTCTTGATGTGGCTCTGCTCTTACCGGCAAACAATAAAGTTGATTTATGTTACATGTACGTATCACGTTTATTTATCACCAGTGTAGGATTATACGAATTATGGGGATATATAAAATCGAACAAACAAGTCCCCTCTTCTGGAACAATGAATTTAAAATTATGTAAATTTCCATGCGTGCATCTTACTCCCTTCTGATTGGTTTAATTACAATCAGCTACTGTCACAGCTCATACATGCACACTATCGTTACCCCCAGTCCCTTTAAAAAGATCATGCTTTTCATTTTAGCTAAGAGTTTTCTGGAAGAACACTGTGTTGAATTGAAACCAGTTATTGAGAGCATAAGGCTGGTTTATAAGGTTCGGTTAATCTGTTGTAACATGGTGTTTCAGGCTTGGGATGTAAATTTGTCTGCTCTGCAGCCGCTCGGGCCTGAGTCACATAGGCTCCCCACCCCTCCCTGGGGCAGGGAACTTGCATGACTCTGGCCTGAGTGTTTGAGAAGGAAAATAGCCATCAAATAAGCAACTAATAAAAATGGTAAAAGCACAGGTAGTAGCTTGACAGATTAAAGGCACAGGATGTGCAAGATGGCAAGTAACTCATTTCCTGGCCTATTGGTAAATAATAAATAACGCAAAAGGCGGGATGGGCAATCAGTGAGTCTTAAAGAAAATGTTTGCAGTGCTTTAGTCAAATCCAACTGTGCCGTGTCCCCCTCTTTCCCAGACTAACTCCTGGGCATTAGCATTTCTTTTTTCGTTGGAAAAGAAATTCCCGGTAGCTGGGACACTTGAGCTGTTCGCATCCTCAATCCACACTGTAGCAGTTTTCATTTATCACGCAGTCAAATAATAGTGTTTCTGTCAATGCCTGCCTTTGTAATAGCGCTATTCTTATTACGCTACAAACTACCATTCACGATCTTTCTAGTATGAAAGTTCGCGGCCAGAGGGTGCTATAAAATTAAAATCATCAATAGTGTATACAGCTATCTGTTCTAAATTGTTTAATAATATGAAAGGAAGCTCTAGATTGATCATACATGATCATAGGATTAAAATCATTATGCCTACATTTTATTCACATCCTAGATCAAAGGAATTTGGATTCATCAAGACAATAGGTCCCAGTTTCGCAGTACAAGTTCTGTCTTGACAAGCAATGAAGAAAAGCATGCACAAAATCGAGAAAACATGCCTCTACAAATCTGTACAAGTTTTTTGCGTCCTTGATAGAAGAGATAACAACTAAAAAAAAAAATTTTCTTCATGTAATAAAGAATAGCTCGTTAAAAACATGCTACACCCTATCCAAAGAACCACATTCACAGAAAAATTGTGCCACGTGACCATGTTTTCCCTTTATTTGTCATTTATTACTCAATTACTCAATATAGAATTATCATACCTCTGCCACAAAAGTAATAAGTAGCTCCATGCCTCTTTCATCCTCACAATTTATTTCGCCGACAGTGTATATGCGGCATTTCCTAATTTCAGAAATTGCCAAGTAGGCAGTTTGCCATTATCATGACCCTAAATCTATATATGGTTTATACCTGATGAAAGGACAGCTGCCATATCTTTTGTTTTTGCACATTATGTATATTGTGTGGTGTACAGTTTGTGTGCTGTAAAAATGATCTCAGAAGTGCAATTTGAGGTGATGGGTTTAGCCATCCGGCAAATAGCTATGTTGAAGGCATTCCTGGAAAAGCCAGTCAGTGGTATGGAATTACAAAAGTGTTATTCACTTGTACATACTGAAAATTTCGCGGTGGCCATCTTAAAATATAGAAGTAAGTAGGTTAGTTTAAATAAACATTACACGGTTAGAGGTACTTAACAGGAATGGAAACCAGTTTCCGTATCCTGTTCCAATGAAAACCACTATAGAACTAATTTTCTTTAATGATGATGAACGATATTCTCTCCCCAGTAATATTACAACAGGAAGAAAAGAGAACCTTGATTATATAGCAAAACAGCTCATTATAGAGAACATATTTTGTCAGTCTCCTCACTCCATGTTACATCAAGGTTCCATATTTCCTTGCTGTGCTTGTTAATCTTCAAGTAGGCGGATATTTCAGATATATATGTACTGCTTCACACGTGTAACAACAAGCAAGCAGCTAGCTATTCATATCATGCCTTCCTAAAATGAGTACACTCCTATTCACATGATTTTCATTTGCATACTATACCTTTGGGGGGGGGGGTCAAGAAAAGTTTTATGCAGAGACGCTCCACACTGAGGCCCAACCCTTTCCCCTTTTATCGATACCCAATTTTTGACAGAAAGAGTAGCCCTTTTTTATACCTTCCAATGATCAATGGAACCAGTCCACACACCTAGTTTAGACCTTTGTATCCTGTTTAACTGCTATAAATACGCTGTCTTTGAAATATGAAGAGAGTGCAAACCAGACCATTTTTTTTCAGCTTTTTCACAGACATAAAATGCATCTGTAATCCCTATCAGGCCTTCTTACACACCAAAAAGACTTTCCTTCCCTATCCTTTTATAGGCTTCCGCCAACGAGTGAAATCCCTACTTTTTTTAACCTGTAGCCTGAGAAAGGTAGCCCTTTGGGGAGGAGCCTTCCTGTAGCGACAAATGTAGTGAGTTTCTTATAGGTACTATACAAAAATTGTTATGATGCCCCTGCACTTCAGGTTATAAACAGTGTATCAATCAATTTTTCCACCGTGGAAAGGGAACAACGAATTAAAGACTTGGCGGAGAAAATAAAAGCACATAGAGGAAATAAAGCAGAAAAACAAAAGTCTCAGACGGTGAACATTGCAATGCCCAAGAAATCAGCTGTAGTGAGGCGCCGCAGGCTTTATACAGGTTGGCTCCACCGATCAAGCGTGGGTTCGCGATACTTAGCAGATTAAAACAAAGGACAGTGGAGGTGTTCGACACTTCTATTACAATGATGATGAAAAGATCACTGTTGAATTCTTCAAGTTAAAGGCTAGAAAACGTTTCTTTCTGGAAGGTGTGTCCAAGGACCATCCTCATTGCAGCTGGGAGTATTTATGGGATGTATCAAACAGAGATCTCAGAGGAATTTCAAAGTATGGAGATGAAGACTAGTACACCTATGAAAAACTCATCAAGAAGCCAAAAAACCTCTCTACGCACCAGTTATTGAATGGGGCGAAGGAGCTTTGTGTACTGTAGACAATTTAGGTGACCATCATCTATTAATAACTTACGAATCTGTCACGGAATCATCTTTTTCGGAAGTCTTTCTCACCATGGTTTTGTTTTCAAGGGAACAGTGCTGGGATACTAGCTTGCTTTCACAACTGTTAACAAGGGAAACCCCCTTACAGGAGTATGGCCCCTGGAAAATGGGTTTCCCTTTGTGGGCATCAACAAAGGTGCTAAGTGCTTTCTCGACAAGACCAACAATGATTCTGCTAAGCCATCATCTGATGAGCCACCAGATTTCAGATATGAGTTCCCTCAGCAGCGACATGTTCTGTCATTGTTTCCAAGCTTTCTTTAAAGAAGCCTCTTACCATTCAGGTCAGTCCAAACCGGGAAAATTTACGTTTTGCAGTTATCAATGAGAAAAAGGATGTCATTTTTTCAAAACTCGACTGGTTGGTTTATCATATCAGGGAAAAAGGAGAGACAGCTGACAAAACAGTCATATTTTGTAATACCATGAATGACATTGCAAGTGTGGTGAACTATTTAATGATGAAACTTGGCAAAGATGCTTATTCACCCAAAGAGTCATGGAGACAGCCAGATTGTCTTCTTGGGATTTTCCACTCAAGCTGTTGGCCCCAAAGCAAGGAAAGGGTTGTGCGGTCTTTTAAGGGAGATGGGAAAGTCCGAGTGGTGGTGGCTTCCACTACCCTGAGTATGAGAGTAAACTTCCCAGACATTCGTTATGTTGTGAACTGGGGCCCTGCTAGAAGCCTTCTGGACCAGCATCAAGAAGCCGGACGAGCTGGAAGAGATGGTAAACCCAGTCATGTGCTCATTATCTACCATGGCCAGCAGCTTAGCCGTTTTGAAATGGAAGTAAAAGAATTTGTCAAAACTAAAGATTGCCTGCGTGTTGCTGCGTACAAGCCTCTTGATGCAAGTATCCAGCCACAAAAACCTGCACACTCATGTTGTAGTTTCTGTGCATCTTCTTGTGATTGTAACTGGTGTGAAGCTACCTGTCCTTTGTTTGAACAGACAACTCAAGGGGAACAAGGGGCTACCTGAGAATTACTTCTTACAAGACCTGTTTGGAAAGAAGACAACGTAGACTTAAGAGACTCTCTGATAGAAGTCAAGGACAGTTTTGTCAAGTGTCATTCAATGTTTGACAGTACTTCTTGCCATGGATTTTCTGACCAACTTGTGCATGATGTTGTTTTAAACTGTCATCAGTTATTTACTGTTAATGATGTTCTGGGAAAATGTCCGGTTTTTTCTGTTGCTCATGCTCTAAAGATTCTAGAAATCATAGAAGAGCTTTTTTTAGACATTCCTAATTTTGATGAGTTCATGGACATTATAAGGCTGGAAGAGTCCTCCTCTTCCCAGAAATTGTCTCATGTTTTGAGGAATGCAACTGTTTTTGATGACAGCACAGAAAGTGAGGACGATGCAGGCGAAGATTCTATAGCAGTTTTGTAAGTGAGGTAGATATTGCATTATTTTGTAAATACACAATTGAAGTTTTATAAACTTCTTCAACAGTAAAAGTTGTACAGTAGTATACAGTTCAACCTCTTGTTACAGGTACCAGGTTACAGACACCTTGTAGTTCACACGTCCCTATTATGGACAGGTTATTTGATTCATGTTCGTACATTTTCTATTTCAATAATACCAATACCTCTACTATGCAGATAGTATGGGTTGCCTCCCTTGGAGTTTGTAAGGTGGTTTGACTGCAGTTACTGGTTTGAGATACTACAGGCCTTGTTACAATGAAATGAATTGTTTTTATTTTTCCACCTTATTGGTCGAGCATTGTACAGCTACACCCAGCTGCAGTTGCAAGCTGTCACTTAACAAAAAGATCTAAACATCTGTTAATTAATCAAGTGAATAGGTCTTAACTCCTTATTTTTATGCCATAACACAGTTATGAACAAGTAGCTGTACTTTCGTATATTGTGGTTCATCGATCAGTTGTATCCTTGATTCAAATTTTACTTTTCCATGGAATATATGTGTATGCAAATTACTTTTGAACATAGTTATGAAAGTTAACGGCTGCAGAACAGGTATGAAAGTAAAAACCGCAGGATCAAGGATACATCTGAACAACAACACAGACAAGCATTAATAGTTTGCTGATATTACTAATAGTATTATTGTAATAAAATACCACTCGTCACTCTGTTAAATACAATGTCTTTCTCTCAACCTTGGGGTGGCTTTGACCCATTCAGCCTCGTTAGGGATATTATAGAAAATGTACATCTACATTAGTATCCAAAGGGATCCTAACACCCGCAATAAAAAAATTAAAACTTCAAACAACAGGCCAGATTTTGGCAACAACTTATACAACGTGATGATTAAATAAAAGAAGTATTGAATTTGAAAGACAAGAATTAGTGCTCTAAAGCTAGTTCTATAATTTACTCTTACATTTTTTACCATATTCATTGAAAAAATTCACTTGGATTTTATTACTCATTATTTTCATAAATGGAACCCCATGTGTGTAGTGTGTCCTTGATCCAAGTATTAAGTTGCCTGTAGTCAAGACCGTGCAGCAAGTTGGCATTAAAATCAGGAAAGGAGGGATGTCCTTCTCGCCCACTTACAACTTTAAATGCTTGTATGGATAGGAGGTCTTTGATCATTTGATAAACTGCTTCCTCCTTCTTTGCCACAGAACGGTATGCTGTTCTACGTGACATTGTGCAATCAATATCAACATTGTGCAAGATCAACTCCACTGCATCCAGAGTGCCAGCAATTCTTGCAGCACTCTTTTCATTCAAATTGGGACCCACTTCTTTCCACATGATCTTGAGCAGATTGTTCTGGTGTTCTTTCCTTAAGTCAAAGGGTATGTTGCAGGCCTTTCTACCATACAAATTAATGAACCTGTTCCACTTTAGCCTCTCAGCTTCGAACTCGGGTAAGATGGCACATATTTTTGCCAGATAGTGCAAGGTGACATAGGCATATTTCGGATGCTTGTTAGCTTTATAGATAAGAAGAAGTAATTTGTATGTCTCAAACAGGCGCTGACCATTCCCTTCCTTCACAGCATCCTCAAATCCCTTTAGAATAAGTCCAGAAGCCAACTTACATTGGTGGTAGTTGAATAAAATATCCTCTTTAGTGTCACCATCTGGCTGGTTAGGCTGCTCTGGGGCAACAAAGTCTGGGTGAACCTGTCTTTCGTGTCTGAAAAGAGAGAGTTAAACAAAACAATCTTTTGAGGATAGATAAGTGCTGTTCAAAGGGGAAGGGGGAACTCAAGCCTGCAAGAATACAAGGGACACAAAGTCTAGCATGTTTGAATTCTGCCTTTCCATTCCCTCTGGAGCCCTGGTATGTAGGCTTAGCTGTCATATATATGTACTCAAGTGAGAAAAACTACAAAGTAATCATTACATGACTAAGTGTTATTCACTAGTTTTTTTTTTCACAATTAAAGGGACTGCATGACTGTATGAGCTGCTGAAAACTATAGGATCACAGTGATGTTCTAGTGTAACTTCGTTGCAATATTGAAAATACATTTTTGTTTTAATCAAGCGTAATCACCTGTTTCTTGTTGACTTTGTACTAAAGACAAGGCCACAGTTATTTCTGCAAAGGAAGTACCCCAGAAAATCTTGTTCATCTTTATCAAACACTTGCAACTTCAAGTTGCGACTTTCCAGCTCATGACTGTAAAATAATATAAAACCATTCAAAATGCATTGAGCCTACTGTTAGTTTTACTTTAAGCACTTGCATTCAGACAAATCAGGAAAATAAATATATATCAGACAGAATGGTAGGCTGTAAAACTGACTTTCTTTAAACCCTGATCCCAGGGAGGAGAGGTACTCACGTACATGGCCTATACGGGGACATGTCGCTGGATAAGGTATGGTTTCTGACCTCTTTGTCATTAACAGGGTATTTTATTTTGGGTGAGTCTGTCCTTAACAGGGTATACAATTTCACGCTCTGTTCTTGAACAGTGTACGTCTTGTGTCCTAGACAGCGTGTGTATTTTAGGATTTTTTTGTCTTAAACAGAATCGGGGTTACAAACCCTTGATGGCCCACCTATACCTAAATAATGTTTGAGTGCCCCTCTTCCCCTCCAAGGGGTGCATTAAGTTTAATATATTTAAAATTCCCTGATATTTTGTAGTTTACACTGACCGCACTCTTCTGGAGTGGAACACAAATGTCCTTTGACAGTCTTCAAATCGGCACTGGAACTGGCGTTGGTTTGCCTGGTGCAATTCGTCTGTCTTCTCTAACAAGCATGCCACATCTGAACAAACTGCATACTTCTCTACATGACGTTTGCAAAGAGAAAGCAACCACTGACTTTTCATTTCATCACTAGAAGTGTTTGATGGCATCTCGAAGGAGGGCTCGTCTGTAAATAATATTATCAAATGAGAACAATATTGTCACAGTCATGTTGGAGATAAAACAACTTGCAGTATCAAGTAAAAAAAAACACTAGCTGGTCTTAATAGGCAGTATATGAAATACTATAGTTACAGTGGTGCAATTCACTCAAATTCCACAGTCAATGACAACTCAAGATTATATAATAATTATATAAATACAATCCACGTGAAAAGTAAGGTACCCTCAAAATGTTATTACCATCTACTTTTGACATTCCACACATCTCCATAAAAGAAACACAGATGTGGGCTTCCAGCTCCCTTGAATGAAAATCTTTGTATTCATTGTAGTTTGTCTGCACACCCTTGGCAGCATTAAATTTCCCTGTACGATTCATACTGGCCCTTGATGTGCCAATCTCACTTGCTGACTTGTCTTTAACAAACATCTCAAATTCCGTCTAGGGAAAAATAAAAGAAAAAATGCAAACGACCTTTAGCACGTTGACTGGGTTATTTTCTGAGTAATCTGTTCAGGTTTAAAATTTGCCAAAAGTTAAACCAGTTAAGAGTGCAACAGAGTTAATTCTGATGAGTGGATGAACATCACAGTGTGTCAAGAAATAAAAACTGTACTTGGATTTAAATCTGGATAATACCCAAAATGACTTCTGCAAAATTCCATGGCCATAATAATGCTTAAAAAAATGGTTTTAAAATTTCAATTTATTAGTTAATTGGAAATAGCTCAATTAATATACCAAAGTACCCAGAATACTGGTGTGTCCCGACTAAACACACCTTGTATAGTGTAACCTTGGCATGCCAGTCAGCGTGTTCTGGAGGTACTCCCTCTAGTCTATCATAGTTGCTCTCTCCATCTCTCATAGCCCATTCAACATTCCTTGCTCTTTCTTCAAAAAGTTGGTCACCGTGCACTGGGACGGTAGCAACTACTTCTTTCTTGTTCTCTTTGGTGAAACATGGGACATATCGAGACTGGTAATCTTTCAAGATTTCTACCATCTCTGCAGCTACATTAGGGTTATGGAACTCCATTCCTAGTGAACACTGTAAGAAGAAAAAATAAAAAGCAAAAAAATTATTGTGAAGACAAAAACTGAACACTAGGTTGAAAGTTCAGTCACTATCAACAACAGTCTTAGTGAGGGCTAAGCTCACCTGTGTAATAATGGTCCACCTGCTTATCAATTAATGTCATATATTGTTAAAACAAAGCCGACAGAACGTTATTATCTTGCACATGTAGTGATAAACAATAACATTTCATTGTAGTGGTATCTTTGGAACTAACCTAACAGCTACAGCCTTGCAATAATTATTGTCACCACTTTTGATGAGGAAGGTGTGGCGGTAAATAAAGGACACTATATTATACAGAAAACAATAATCTTAAGCATTATCAAAACAGTTAAAAAGGAGAAAAACATGCCAAATAATAAAATTGTGCTATTCCTCTTCCCTGCCTGAATGGCAGTGAAACTTTTTAATGCACATACCGTTTCAGATTTTTGTGCCATTTCTTCAACATACTTGTGTGGAATGTAAAAAATCACATTCCTTCTGAAGACTTTGAAGGCTGGAAGATATTTTGTGACCACTCTACTCACAAGCACTGCCCACTGCCACACAAGATTTGTCTGTACAAGTGAATCTGGCAGAAAATCAATAAACTGGAGGTCTGAGATGGATTTTTGTAGTTTCATGGAATTGTAGGATGAATTTGCCACTTTATCGAGGACAGCATACTGATGGGTCCAGTGAAGGGAGCGGTTGACATGATCTTTGGTTTGTATTCGAGCATTGATAGTCAAGTCAATATTATCTGCAACACTCCTATGTTGGGTAATGCAAAAATATTATTATTATTATTATTTCCTATCAGTGGAGGAGAGGGTTGACCACGAAGAAAAAAAAAATCATTTGTAGTGATCAAGTTGTTTCACTATGGAGAGATATATTATTAAAAATTCAATTTTGTAATAGGGCAGATGGGGACATCTAGATTACTTGAATTGTGTAACTTTTTTTTGTTCCTTTGCCCACGTCCTCTCCCCCCCCCCTCCAATCCCTCTCAAAGCAAGAAATAAAAACATGTACCCGTATATTTTTTTACACTAACAACACAGTTTTTTTTAGCAAAAATAGATTTGGCAATTGGGCGACGCTTTTAAATAGTTTTGTAGGCAACAAAGGATACCAAAATGTCAATCCGGCAAAGTCTCGTTAGGTTCCAAGGAAAATAGAATGAAACACACTATTAAAAAAAAAACACTATAAACGTACACTGACTACGAAATTTAAAGAGATTCTTCCTCCAAGAGGAAGTAGTTTATATCAAAACATACCAGGCTGCCAAAAGAAACGACCCACCAACACATCCTCTTCCTCTGTAATTCTCTCATACGAACACCAATTTAGTATACTTTCGTTCAACCCACATGACTTACTTCAATAAAGGAAGCTTTCCGTTTTCCTGTCGCTTCAATGCCTCATCGATTACATCACTGTTGTAGTTAGTTTCGTTGAGAATTTGCCGTGACTTCTCCAGCTGTGTCACAGTACGCTGATAATTTTCAGGAGTGTACCATTCATAAGTTTTCAATGTTGCCTCACTTGCGTCCACTTCTATCGCTATGTCCATGTCGTCTTCCTCTCTATCTGGAACTTGCTTCTCTTTCACTTCCAGAAGAAGTTTCTCTGTGCATTTATTTGTTTCGATGCATTTCCGCCAAACTATAGCTTTGTAATCAAAGTTCTCACCCATTTTCTGCTGTAAAGCAATCATTTGGTCCTGGGACATGCAAACTCCCAGATGGTTTAATCGTCCATAGTCCTTGTATGAAACTCCACTGTGAAAAAGAATAGTGGAGATTCTGTAGGCTACTGCAGACATTCCAGGGTTTCTGCAGCGAATTAAAGACGCCACTGCCAGAGCGACTGCATTCACCACTCTCTCGTTTCCTTCACCGGTTTCCACCCCCGTCAAATTTGACCCGTTGCATATTGCTTCGTATAAAAGCGGACAGTGCATCTCCACCTCTTTGCAAAGAGTTTTATTTGAAAATACGGCACAGTCATCACTTGATGAATAATTTTTGCACTCGCCTGCGATCTCTTCCGAGAAAACTCTCTTTGATTCAGGAGCGAGGTGTTCGTGTAGAAACAGCCCATTCGCAACAGTTTTCCACTTTTTCAAACTGATGTTCTTTATGACCCTCTGGCTTTCATCGTCAATGGCACTTTTAACAGAAACCTCAGCACTTGGGTAGCAAATAACGACTTTAACGTCGGCAAAAACATGCGAAGTGTCGAGATCATCTACATTACAACTTGAAAGCACGTTGGAATGTAGTGCTCTGGAAAATCCTCCGTTGTGGAAATTCAGAGATTTTCTTCTTGTGGTAGCGGTGTTTTTCTCCTTTAGCGGCGATTGAGTTCTAATCAATTTACAGTTTTGTGGACTGCTTCTCGCTGGAGACAAAACCGCAGAAAATTTTCTTTTATCGCCTTCACTAGCACAAATACCTTCACAGTCCAGTTCTTCTCCAGACTCCACAGCGACAGCGTTTCGAATTTGCTCCGATCCAAAACGTCTGGAAAGGAATTCCACTAGTTCACAACAGTTTTTAATTTTTATTGCGCAAACACTACACCCAAGTTGCAAAAAACCAGGGAAGCTGTTTACATTAATTCCAACTACTTCTCTTAACCGTTCAGCCCATACAACTCCAAATGTATCGCTCCTCAGAGATAGTTTAAACAAATTGATACAGGATTTTGCGTTGCCGTACTCAATTTTCAAGTTAGTTTGACAAACACGAGACTCCATTACAGTTATCTTTCTTCTTTGGGCGACCACGTTGAGGTTTTTTAATTTCACAACCATCCTCCATAGCATTTTGTTTTTCTAGTTGTTTGTTCTTCTGGAAAAAAGCTATTACCTGCAAAACAAGAACGCGCTTCGCGCCCAGAATTTGCCGCGAATGTTTTTGATTGGATGTCATTTGACAGTCAGACATTGCACGGTCAGCTTATCAAATTAGGGGCGGTTTTGACAAAACGAAAGCATCCTTGCAGGCGTTCCTTTCCTTTCCCCCTCGCGCGTGCCCAAATTCCCCCTTCCCCTTCCCCTTTCAACGCCGGCCACGCAGGCTAGGCCATTTCAAACACCACCTATTCCAAATCTCCAATGCTCCCCTCTCGGGGTAGTGTCTAAGAAAGACGGCACCTGGCACATCATCATGGACCTCTCCTCCCCCGATTGGTCCTCAACAAATGATTATATTTCCAAGGAGGAATTCTCATTACACTATGGTACCTTCGATCAAGCTCTATATCTAGTTGCACGGTACGGGAGGGATGCCCTTGTGGCTAAACTAGACATAGAAAAAGGTTTCCAGCTTTGCCCAGTACGCTTGGAGGACCGCGAACTACTCAGCATTCACTGGCAGCGCCAATACTACATTGATCTCCGCCTCCCCTTTGGCATGCGATCTTCTCCCTAACTCTTCAACTGTTTGGCTGACACCTTTGAGTGGCCATTTCTTTTCATTTCATCTTTTCAGTTGAAATGCAAATTGACAAGCAGAGTTATTGCAACAGCTATATCTTGAGTACTCAAAAACTGGTTATCATATCAGTGTCGACCCTGAGTCCTCTAAGCTATGTCATTAAATAAAAAAAATACTTTTTAAATGTTTGTCTCAGGATATTGTGTATCATTTGCTCCACAAAGTATGTAAAGGAAACACAGCAACAAAACTAGCTTAAGCTTTTTCAATTGTATTTTTCTATTGTTCAATAACATTTCTGGATACTGGCCTTGTCACTGAATGCACAGCCGGGGGAAATAAATTGCACTTACTTTTCATTATACCTCATTTTATGATGAAGCTGTGTTGAATGTGCAAAGAAATACTCATTGTATTGTTTTTTATTTGTTTTTGTGATAACACACAGTACACCAATTTGGTTTTGCCATGCTCTCACATAACACATTCATTGTATCTTACTGAATAAATTATTGATAACTTTGCTTGGAAGTTGATAGACAATTTTAATTTGATACACTGGTGGAGGAGGCTGAAGTAGTTCATGACAAACAATCGTATCTACCACTTAGCCAGACAGGAAGTGTTTGGATATTTCATATTTCATGGAAAACAACAGCATGCTGTGAATGCCATTTAAAGAATAATAATAAGTATTCTCCTAATGCCAACTGGTGGTGGAACAACTGTGTGTGATGCAGTTCTTGGAATCATCCTGCTCAGATTCACCACTGTTGTTACACCTGTCATTGCCCTGGTTTATACGCATTCCTCTCTTCCCTTACTACTACTCCTTTATGTTCCGATGTAGGTAACATAAAAACACATGGTAAACTAAACAACCAAATAATAACATTCTGTTAGGAGGGTGAATCGAAGCTGTAGATGTGGTCCTTTTCTTTTCAAAACCATGTTAGCATAAAATTCCCCTTAAAAGTCTTCTTAAGGGGTAGTTTTTGACCCGCTTTGGAGTGTCGAGGAATACCAGATCATATGATAATTATAAATAGGCACAGAATTGCCAAATGCATGGATCTTAAAATAAGTATAGATGGTTCTGCAGAACCACTAACCCGACAACCCCCTTCCCATAAATTTTAGCTAAAAATTATAACCAAGATACAAACATTGAATCGAAGAATCAGTGAAAACAAGCCCCTAGAAAAACTGGAAGAATATGCAGTAGTATTGAAAACCCACATCATTAGCCCGCTGATGTCAGGTCTCTGAACAGTGTCAAGCACTGAAAAACCCCAGCTCTTTTTAGTATGAACGTCAGCCATGCAAAACGCACAACCCTTTCACCTGTTTCCACTTCACCCAGAGTACTACAAAATATTGCTCCTATTCCTTAAATGAGTGTTCCTGGACATTAAATTGGTGTATGTTTCATGAGGTTTTGCTGTGATTATTGAACTGATATGTGGTCACTGAGCTATGGTCAGAAATAGAGAAAATCCGCACCCCTTCCCAACTTATACTCCATCTTGCCCAATGTAATAAAACATTATTCTCCTATTTCTTGATTTTGGTCAATGGAAATTGGGTTGACGTTTCTTTATTGAACTATTACTGATTAAAGCATGTGCATAGACCCCCCTCTGAAAAAATTGCTCTACACAGGCTGCTGAGATTATTGAACTGACATGTCATTGAACGTCTGTTAAAAAAGGGTTAAGCCCATTCCCCTTCTTTTGCATTTGTGTGACCAAATAAATATAAGTTACATTGCGACTATAGACCAGTTTGAATGGGATGTAGTAGCCTTTAAAGCAAGAGGTCTTCCTCATCAACATTAACTGAGGTAATCCAAAATAATGGATTGAACAATGCTGGCACCTTCCTTCTCTTCAACCCATTCCCTGAATCGGAAATAAAGTTCATTCTGTCAAGGACATTACTTATCTCTCGAGAAACTAGAGATCATCCTGAGAAGATTATGGAGAAATAGGTAAATGTAAGCTTCAACAAGTTACGCATTTCTATTTATTTTGTCAAAAGCATCAACTGAATATATCCACCTGTCCCTGGTTTTCTAGTTAGTAACCTCGCAGACTTAAATCTTGGTGTAAGGACATGCTTTTGTCTTCATAATCACCTCCTGACCTTGCACAATCTGGGTAGAAAGAAGAAATTGAAAACATAAGACATAAGTCATCAGCGCTGTACTTTACTAATCCGGATTCTAAAATAAACGACAAGTTCAATACTAAAAACAGACTTACCCAATACCGTCAAGTTATCAAATAAATTGTTCAAGGTTTTCTACGATTCGAAACAATCCTAGACTCTTTCACAGCCATTTCTACCACAAGTTTTGCGAATTTTGTCCACTTACCCTGCCTACCTAGACTTTACAATGTGTACAACAATATGCTACTAAAATTGAGCGCTTCCAAGACTTAAAAAGACCAAAATTGCACCGTGCCAAGAAATCAACAAAATTGACAAGAAATCCACACAAGATCTAACCGGCTTCGCCTCCCTTCTTTATCCTTCCCATGGTCCCTTGCTCTTCTTCACCAGCCACTTGGGTTTTGCCCTTACCTCTATGCGAGAAGATGCAAAACTTGAAGCGCATGAGGAGGCAGGGAGACTTTGCTCAGTATTTTTCAATTTGATGTCTCCCATTGTTCATTTTAGCATGGATACACTATATTGAAATCTCTCAGTATTTTCGTTTTTTTCATTAGCTGGGGGAATAAGTAGAATGGGATGAGGAAAATGTTTCATGGTAAAAATTTTGGTGATGAGATCTTAGTACCAGCCCCGTTTTTTATCCAAAGTGTTTGAAGCATACTTTGGATGTGTTCAGACAACCGAAGGCTAAGGCTTCCCATCTACCCCCACACGCATCTTCTTCGCAAATCCCTCTTTAAAATTTAATTAGGAGACAAAGGAGACAACTGGGGATAAGTCAGCAGCTTTTGTTGAGTTGCTCCGTAACAAATAAGTAAAGCTAACAGTAGAATTGCAGTGTGTAAATGAGTACTTTGTACAAATCGCCTTGTCCAAAAACAATGAATGCATAAGGTAAATTTTGCTGATTTTGTACCTGGGGAAGTAGGAAGGAAGGAAGTAGAGCATTTCTGCATAAATCAGTTGGATCCCACAATTTGAAGCGTACATAATACACGTAACTGTGGATCATTTTACGTTACACTAACAACATAACCCACCCGCAAAGGATGGCGGTTGGCGATGGGCCTTTAAACTAAATTCAATCAATTACTTGCAATCTTTGCATACCTGGAATTTTTCACTACACGTTATCTGTACTGTCGGCGTTCACCAAACGACCATGCTAATTTTGAACTTGAGTTAACGTGTAGTTATGAGCATGGTGGTAACAAACCCCCACCCCATCAAACATCAAATGGTCTGTACCAGACAACTTGACAACATTTCAATACCTTTAAATTCATGACGCATACCACTGGAAGAAAGAAGTATAATGAGTCATGTCTTTGTTGTTCAAGGTGATTCTTGGATCCAAACTTTATACATGCTGATCAAACCATCCAATAGAAAGAGAAGAGGTTTCTACATAGAAAAAAGAACCCCATCATGGAGGAACTTTATTGATTCAAGCATGTAAGATATGTTGTAATTTGTTGTGAAGCTATGTATTTGAATTCTAGGAGCTTGAACTGAATATCATATAAACGAAGTTTGGAATCTTGTTGCCAACGTGAAACAACTCGTAAAAATTGAGAACGTTTATTTGTTATATGATAAGATCAGAAACAAGTCATCTCTATACCAATGGGGAAACACCCAGTGACAATTGTTCCAACACTTCAATGGGATAAAGAAGTACATGCATAACTTGCCACCTCTATGATTAGAGTAAGTCCACAATTGATCTCACTTCTCACCAAAGGAAGCGATAAAAAAAAGGATTGGAAGGTCACTTTTTAAATGCTGTGTTTGTAGCCTGCAGTAAACGCTTTGAAGATGATTTGAAATGCAAGATTTCCGAATTGGTTTCAAAAGGAATTCATGGCTTACATTGTTGGTTCAGAGGCAACACAGCAAAGGGGTCTGTTACATAGGCAAAGTGATAGGAAATTTGATCAGGATCTCGCAGAATTTAAGGCTTTATGGAATGCACGCCAGAGTGAGGCATGCAACACAAGCAAAGGCTGCAAGGGAGGTGCCTAGGATTAAAATAAGAATACTACTATGACAACATCCCACAGTCTATGCGCCACAATCTGAGGATGCGTCAAAATTACAAGGCATCCAACATGCCCACTGTGGTGGAAATTATTCGCAAGAAGAAAGACGTTTAGACAGCTGTTTTTGAAGACGCAAAATCGTGTGGGGTCTAATA